TTATTTGAGGCATGATACAAGTTGAATATGTATGAATCATGGAAGCATGTTTTATTTTCAAGTATTAAGAAAGCATGAATTTAATAAGCCTTGCTTATGTATATTTAAAAGAGCTAAAGTTAGAATTATTGAGCATGATTCATGAACTTATTTCTCACCCATATATTATTGGAGTTGAGTCAAGGAGTTGGTTTATTTATTTTACTCACTCATATAAGTTGAGATTGAGTCAAGGAAGTTTATTAGTGCATCTTATGCACCAAGGTAGTAATAGTGCAATTTTTTGTGCACAACACTAGGCAAGGAACCTTAATTAAAATAAATTGTATGTGTTCACTAATTAATTCAAGATTGAAATGGAAATGTGTGTTGATTATTGTTATGTTCTTGTTTGATTGGTTGGAGTCATCACAAATTCAATTGGTAAATCACGTAAAGTGTAAGAGGATACACACTAAACTCTTGGAACGTATACACCTTGAGTATGAACATATGGGAGGAGTTATGTGACTTTATACATGATAATAGATTCTACAGGGATACAGGACGCTGCATTTCTTTTATTATTAATGCGCTGGAATTCCGTCACAAGGTGATATAGTAGGTGCCAATTAGGGTAGCTCCCTAATTGGAAGCTCAAAGGAAGGAAGCCCGTTCGATGTGTTATCCAAAGCTATTTATTAATGATTAATATTATTGGTTATGAGTCAAAGGTAAGTTGACTTGTGAATTATATGGCGAGCATGTTTTATTTATTATTGCTAGGATATTCATGTTAGTGTTTGTGTTTGCTAGCATGTACTCAGCTTTTGCTGATTCGTACTTTTGTGTTTGTATTTGGCTTTCCTTTGGATTGACCCTACTATGACCTATTTATATGGTGAGTATAGAGGTTGAAATATAGAAAAAGAGATAGGTACTTAAAGCATGAAGAGCATGAAGGGAATGAGTGCATAGAGTTACTTGTTATGCTTTTTTAGTTTTATATTTATGAATTATTGATTTTATTTATGGACTAATATTGTTATGTTTTATTTCAAATTGATTTTTGAAGGGCCATGTCTATATTGGTTCCAACTTGTGAATGTTTTATTTTACATATGTTTTGAGGTTGTAAACTCAAGTTATTTATTTTGAAAATTTGGTTTTTAAGTTAGACTTCCGCTGTGTGACTTTGAAAATAGCCTTAGCCATTATCACGGTGGCGGTAATATTTTGGTTATTTACTAAAATGAGTTTTATTTAGAGTAAAAAGAGTATTTTAAAAGAAGGAAATTTTCAGGGGATTACATTTAAATTCTCATTACAAGTATTAAACACCCCTAAACTAATGACATCACTTCTTAACTGCTCCTGAATAATATTAGATGTCTATGCATCGTTCTTGACGGAAATCCATTGATGTATAGTCACGATAGTGATAAAACTTGATTGATTATCAAGATCGATAAATTGTTAAGACGAATCTTCTAAACATGCACCCCGATACCAACAAACCCGCAATTCCACAAATTTGCAAGATAAATCTTCCAAATTTGTATTCCAGCATACACGAAAAACAAACAATATTAAAACTCCCACCATTATTAGGGAACCGACTAAACCCTACATGAAAGGATTGACTATAATCACCATACTGTTGATAAGCCTCAAATCCTTCTTCAATTTAATAACTATTTAAGTAAATTTGACTAGAATATATTAAACATTGAGAAAACCCATTAAGCATATTTGAGAGTTATAGTCCTCAATTTAGGGATCGACTTGAGTACTTTAATTTGACTTAAAAAATCTCTTTTTCGATCATTGCCAAATAGGAGATGCTCCTCTAAAAACTTCACTAATTTCCAAAGAAAAGTACTGGCTTTTTGAGTTTTTGATGGTGATTACCAACTTTTTGCGGAAAAATTGAGGTGCTATATTTGATAGTTCAACAACTTTTGTGTGTGGCCAGCTAACACATGAGTAACCCCTGACCAGGTAACTTCTGTACGACCGAGTAACCCCTGATGAAGTAACCCCTGACCAAGTAACTCTTGACCGATCGAGTAACCCCTGACCAAGTAACTCTTGACTAACCGAGTAACCCCTGACCAAGTAACTCTTGACTAACCGAGTAACCCATGATCGACCGAGTAACCAAATAATATTTGGATCAAAATTAAAGGGCCATGAAATTAGTTTAGCTTGGTTTTGTGATGTGGACATGGAAAGAGGAAAATAAGTTATGGTTTGGGGAAATGGGCTAAGAATTGGGTTGGTTTATGAAATGTATTAGATTGAATATGAATTTAAGCACTCTAAAGATTAAATACTCAACCCGACCAATAATGGCGGTGAAAGGTTGTTCATCATCGAGTTTGGTTTTGGGGAGACATTTTTAGGTGTCTACACCCTGACTTACCGAGTAGCCCCTTTTCTTCATCTTCTTCTTCTTCAATGGATCTCCTTCGAAGCTACTCCAATGGCGCCGAAGAAGACAACGACGAACAACCCCAACTCCAACCCCACCAAACCAACCCAGAAACCCAACAAAATGACAAAGAAGACAAAGATGAAGAAGAAACCTCAATCATCTCGCTTCCATCAAAATCCCACCGTATTAAAAGCAAGCTATTTCTGCGACGATTTGGTCTCCAAACTCGAAATTAGGGTTAGGGTTTGGAATTGAGAAGGAGGATTTGGAGTAGATAGAAGTAGTTGTAGAGGAGAAGAAAAAGAAGATGAAGAAGAAAGTGAGGAGTGAGAGAATGATGATGATGATTGGGGAAGATGAAGAAGAAGAGTGGAGGTGTTTTCCTGCCATTGTTGGAAGGTAGGAGAGAGAAAGTGAGCAAAGGGGGGAATACAGTGAAGAGTGAGAAGTGGGGGAAAAAGAAAAAAAAGTGGCTGGCCACATCGTATGAAAGTTTGTGTTGATTATTTAGGTTAGTTATTCTACTTTCTTTAATTACACTTTTTAAAGGTTTTACAATAATCTGGAGGAGACTTCGATGAGGGAAATCTTAGCATGGATGTTTAGTTCGAATGTAACCTTTGCCAAAATGCCAAGACTTGACATGCCACAAATTCTTTTTGAAGGAAAGGGGTGCCTTTGTTTTTTTTTTTTTTTTTGGTTTTTTTTGGGCGTTTCCCCGGTTCACCCTTTGGGCTAATCCGAATTCGGGGATCAGTTCTGAGTGATTAGATTCCAGTCCATAGGGGTGCCTTTAGTAAGTGTAGTTTAGCCGCAAAGTTATTAGGTTAAAATCCGCAATGAGCATAACCCTTGTGTAATTGTATTTATTGTTGATATTGCATATTAAGGGATTTCTTAATAAGGGGCATTTTCTCTCGAGATGGATCTATATTGGCCTCATAATAGAAGTACCTCTTATTGGAAGTTGAGACACTAGATAATTTTTTGGCTTATTTGGGTGAGGAGCATCCAAGCTCACATTTCGTTGTACATTTTACATCCATGCTAATTCAATATCTTGTATTCGTTATATCTTGGATTAGATTCAATGGATTATCAAAATCCACTTGGTATAATTTTGCTAATAGAAAATTGAACATAATGAATAATTATCAAACTTGTTTAGGCCACATATTGGGATGATAAATATGTTGGCCTAAGTCAGGTTCAAACTGGGCCAAGGCCAACAAAAAACTAGGATCAAGACTACAAGTCCATGTGGATAAGCTCTATGAACATATGGATTTACAAAATTAGAGTGAATTGATGAATAAACACTTCATGTAATTTGGATTTTTGGACTTTAACTTTTAAAAGGTCATACTACGAATTGTGACTTACATAACATGGCATTAGCCTAACATGAATTGGGCACTCAAAGCCCGACGTGACCTTGCTTAGGTTAGAGTTTTGAAGGTGGTGGCATGGTGCTTGACACCGAATAAGCTTGTGGGTAGGGATGTTTATGGAGCACTGAATCGAGTCAGGTGCAGATGTTGGTCTCTCTATTTTTCACTTCCATCTTATCATCCACGAGTTACAAGATCACGACGAATTCTAAATTTATACCCATCTCCATCCCACCACCCACTTGGATATCCACTCTTCACCTAGTACATACCCACCTTACCAGCTCCACCAGCTGCTTACCCGCTCTAAAATCCACTGCTTATTTTTTTTTACCTCATGTCAAAGTTTAACCTTGGTCAGAAAAATAAGACAAAAAAAACCTATTTAGTTCGGATAGTTCAAGCTTTCACATAATATTAAATCATTTAGACTTATTTATTTATTGTCAAATTTTTTATGAAAATACATACCAATTTAAGTCATTGATTTTTGGGTTGGTTTAGTTTGATAGAGTTAGTTCTATCATTATAGGCTAATAATAACAGGTTGGAGATAACCAATTTATATCGCTAGGCTTGTATCAAGGTTGAGTAACATATGAGGTAAAGAAAGTTCAGATACACGTAAGAATTAGGTCCATCAGGACATGTTAATTTTGATCTTATTCCAATTACCCCATAATAGGAATATTTAGGAAACAAATCGATTTAAGTTACATTTGATTTCGGGTAGAGTTAGACTTTGCTTGGCAAATGGTTGTTGATTGTTGGCGGTTAGTTGGCTCACTTGACTTGTTTGACTAGCTGAAATGTTTGGCTGTTTATAATGGCTTTTGAAATTGGTTATTTATAGAAGTGTTTGATAAACTTAGTTGTTGGCCGTTGACTGTTTATTAGATAATTTGTGGGCCAACAAGCCAAAAGCCAACAAAAAAAGCTACTCATAGCAGCTTTTTCATTTTAGCTTAAAAGCCAGCTTTTTTGCTAACTGAAAAGCCAATTACCAAACACTCTTTTTGGCTGTTTGACCACATAAAAAGAGCCAAAAGCCAAAAGCTAACCAAAAAGCCAATTTACCAAATATGACCTTAATTTGTTTGGGTTTGTTTCACGTCATCCCATTCTAGGTCTTGGTTTCTAAATCGGGGTACAATTTGAGTCGAACCAATATCGTCGACACACTAGTTTCAATTCTCCACAGTCCACACACACAGATTAACAGAAACCAAAAGTCCAATAAAAACCAGCATCATTGTATCACAAACACAGGCCCAAAAAATTGGATCATAACCTGAACACTCGATGATCCCAACGGTCAAAAAAATTTGACACCTCAGAATTCAAAAATCCAACAAATCCCATATAAATAAATTTGCAACGGTCATTTTTCTCAATTGTAATAACATTTTCTGCATTCACTAAAAAAACTCAGAAAGTTTCAAGATCCTAGAAAGAGAAAGCTTCAAAAAAATGGAGGATCCTAAAAAGTTTCTTTCTCCATCATCACCCAATTTCTCTCCTTCAGGTATTTCATTTGATTTATTTTTACAATTTAACTTCAATTCAATTCATTTTTATCAAAATTCTGAATTTTAACACTGATTTTCTCCAATTAATTGCAGAAAACAATGAAAATTTGAGTGAATTCAAACGAAATTCAGAGCAAAGAAACAAGAAATTATTCATGGAACCCACAATTTCTACTGCTTCAAAGAATATGACTCCCAACAAGAAGAAGATCTTAGCAGAGTGGAAACCGCCAAAAAAGGGTACAATTCATGATTCTAATCCTAGAAAATCTGTTTCAAAATCATTTTCTGAAGATGAAGATGAATCTTTAGTTCCTGATTCTTCTGCTAATTCTACTACTACATTGCCATATGATCCCCTCACCAATTATCTCTCTCCTCGGCCTAAATTCCTCCGGTATAACCCGAATCGAAAGCGAAAAATTGTGTTTCGGAAAGAACTCGAAAGCAGTAGCAGTAGCAGTAGCAGCAGCAGTAGTAGTACTGTTATTGTTAGCCCCAAAAGAAATTCTCTTGATTCTGAGAGTTCTTGTAATGTGGTTGAAACTGAGGAAATTCTTGATCAAGAAATGGAGGAAGAAGTTGAAGAAAAAGAAATGGGGTGGAAATGGGCGTTATTCAATTGGGTTTTTGTGATTTCTGGGTTAATTTTCAGTATCATGTATATATCTTCAATGAATAATTCTGCTGCAATTTACTCAGAAAAAATTGAATTTCAAGAGTTTGGGAATTTAACTTCTGGGACTGTTGCATTGAGGGATTTAAGGAGTATTAATTCTGGTGGGTATTGGGTGTCTGAATTTGATGCTGAATCAGAAATTTCAGGGGATATTTTGGGAAGATTTGAGGAAAATCAAGTACCCTTTAAACCCGAAGAGGAAAATTTGAATGTTGAGTTCAATTCTGAGATTGATTATTCAGAAAAAATTGGGGTTTTTGAGGGTTTTCATCAAAATATCAAGGATTTTGATGGTGTTTCGACTGAGAAAAATGAAGAAAACGAACCCTTTAAACCTGAAGAGGAAAATTTGGATGTTGAGTTCACTTCTGAGTTTGATAATTCAGAAAATTTTAGGGCTTTGAGAAGTTTTCCAAAAGTCAAGGATTTTGTTGGTGTTTTTCCTGAGAAAAATGTGGAAAATGAAGACCACAATGTTGCTCAATCTAAAAATGAAGTGGAAAATCTGGTTTCTGATGCATCAATTGTTGCTGTTCCTGAACCCAAATTGGTTGATTTGGAAGAGAAAATTCATGATTTAGCAGAAAAGAAGGTAGAAATTGTTGATGATAATCATGAAATTGTTGATGATCAGAATGAAATGAAAATCACCCAAATGAAATTCATTTGGACGGTTGGATTAGCTTGGTTGGTTGTGGTGGGTTTGACAGTGTTGGTGTGTTTTCGCAAGAAGAGTAAGAAGGCTTTTACTAAGGCTACTGCTTCATATAGGATAAGAAAATCTTCGGCTGTAAATGAAGGAGAGATCATTTTTAGACCAGAAAGTCAGATAAATAATTATTTGACAGTTGGTGTTGATGAGTCTAGGGTGGAGAGGAAGAAGAGTCCACCACCTAGAAGGATTCCGGAGGTGAAGCAGCTCGGCGAAGTCGAATTCGAAGGAGGATTCAGTAGTAGGATGCAGAAGAGGGAGGAAAGTGTGTTTGCTGTGACTGATGAAAGAAGGCCAAAGAAGAGTAAGGTGTCTAGTTCTGCTTCAGAATCTGCTAAGCAAGAGGTAATGGTATGGCCTTGATTTCTTATTTTGAGTTATAAATTGTGTGGAATTTCTTTGCCTTATTTCTGATTATATTGTTTTTATCATCATAGGATTGATATTGATGCTTCATTATATTGTTTAGAAGGTTATTTTGCTATGTATGATATCATGGTTTAGAATAAGCTTTATCATAAACTTCTTTGGTGTTAAACTGATCATTGTTATACGTTTCCTCAATTTGATTGTTTGCAGTACTATATAGTGAAAAGCTAATTATTCTCTGATGTTGATGACCCAAGTAAACATATATGGTAAATAATTAGTTTGTTTGTTAAAATCTACTTAACCTTTTGATATGCACTTCTGTAGTCTGAGACTGTTCCTGACTCTCCATGATATTGTCCCATGCTTAAGTTCGTAGATCATGAATGCCTTGTGCGAGAGGCACCTCGATACAAAAGTTTGATTCACACGAGTCCGAGTAGCATACTCCTACTAGACTTCCCACTCTTTAGGAATGCACCTTGCTTTGATGTTGGAAACACTAGTGATATGCAGTTTGTACAGAATTTCCCTAGTTAAATTGATAATGTTAAATAAGTACCTTGTTTAAGCACTTTAATGTGATTGAGCATGGTTGTTTATACAAAGCCTATATAACAAATCATGTTCTAATTCCATCAATACATTATTGCTTATGCATTTGTGTAAAGGATCCTTATCATGGCCTAACGAACTTGTTTTCAATAACTTAAACAGGATGTCAAAGAGGAAGGGACAGGAACAGCATTAAGGCGATCCCAACGACTCCGGGCGGCTAAAGGAATTGCGTCTCCATGAAGCTGTAAACAACATTTTGGTGGCTATGTCCAACCTTAAGCATAACCAGAAGCAGCATATTTCAGTGTTTTCCTGCTGAAATTAACTATAGATGGTCTAAATTCTCAACATTTGCAATTAGGACTTGTTCTTTTTAGACAGTTGGAATCTGTACTAGATTATGATCATATCTGATATACTTTTATGTAGTAAAAGTGGAATAATTTTAGGACTATTTTACATTATTCTTCTATGATAGTGACTAACCAATGTCTGCCTTTTTTTTTAGAAAAAAAAAAAAAATTGTGCATTGGCCTAATAATCTTATCCTTGTGTTTTTTTTTTATTACGTATAACTTTTTTTTTTTCCCAATCTTTTGGACCACATCAAAAGTTGCTTTAAAATTGGCTTTTTGTTGTAGATAATGTTAATGTCAACGGTGGTGCAAATTTCACTGATAAAAACTGTTAAGAAGAGTTGGGATGAATTGGAATCCATTTTCCAAAAAAAGAAGAAGAAGAAGAAAGGTAGCCTTTAATACTGTGTGTCCGCACCATGTTTCCTTGTAGTTTAGCAAGACAATGTTTTATAATTACTGATGCTACACTTATTCAGAACGTGGTTAGATACAATACACAATACCCATGTCAACTAGTTTAACTGAATAAGAAATTATCATTGGTTTTTAAATTAGTTTACGTGTGGGACTGATTTTCTTCAAGAATCTTAGGGGAAACCAAGTAAGAAATGAACTGATTTACAGTATATAAAAAAGTTAGAATATTTGTATCTTATTTTCTAAAGAAAAAGTTTCAAAAATTAGTGGGTAATGAGCCTCCTGCCTGTCCCCTTTGTTTCGCTCTTGTTCATGTCAACAAATTGTAAAATATTGTTAGTGTATGGTTCAGTTAGTACAGTATTTCATTAAGACATATAAAGGTGTGAGCGACCAAATTTTAAAATTTTTATATTTATCGAGTAGACTTGGTCTAATGGTAAAGGTTAATCTCATATACATATGTGATTGATTTGGTAGTTGCTTAGACCATCTCACTCTTGTTCTTAAACGATGTCTTGATACTAATCTTGTCCTTAATTTTGGAAAGTACCACTTTATGGCTTAACAAGGTATAGTTTTAGGTCGATTATGGTATTAGAAGTCGGTTTGGTTATTTATGTTAGGATTTTTTGACAATTATAACCTACAATTGTTACTGTTTTAGCAATTACCACCTGCAATTTTTTTTTTTTTTTAAATTTTACAACCTACTATTTTTTAAAACATCAAAACTTCCCACCTATTTGGCTTTGAACTGAAGTATGATGTCATGTAGGGCCCACTAACTACCTTCTCACCCTATTACCCTCCTATTCTTTCTTTCTCTCTCAATTTCTCATTTTCCTATATTGTACTCCTCTCAAAATTGAAAAAAAAACTTCAAATTAAATTATATATTCATGTTAATTATTTCACAATTTGAAGTTTTTTCCCCAATTTTGAGAGGAGTACAATATAGGGTAATGAGAAATTGAGAGAGAAAGAAAGAAAGGGAGGGAAAAAAGGTGGGAAGGTAGTTAGTGGGTCTCACATGACGTCACATTTGAGTTAAGAGCCAAGTAGGTGGGAAGTTTTAATGTTTTAAAAAATAGTGGGTTGTAAAATTATAAAAAAAAAAAAAAAAATCGTAGGTGGTAATTGTCAAAATATCCTATATGTTAGATTTGTATATTTGTAATGTTTATCTTGTTAGGAGTTTTAAGAAAGTTAGGTTTTGTTTGTATTGCGTATATATATATTGTGATTATTATCAATACAAAGGTCAAGCCGTTTTCTCCAATCGTCCTTGAGTTTAACATGGTATCAAAGCCTCTCTAATTTATAGAGATTTTTTTTCTATCTTGGTTTGATCATCATCTAATTTTATTTTTTCCGCAAATTTTGAGTGAGATTAAGGCTTCAATTTAAATCAATTTTTCACAAATTTGGTTAGTCGATTTAGGGTATCTCAAACCCTAATTGTTTGGTGTTTGGTTGTGCGCTACTCCGAGGTGGTGTGCTTTTGTGGTGCTGCGTGGTGCTCGTCGTTGTGGTGTGCTGCTGAGGGTGGTGCGCTTGTTGAGTGTGTGTGGTGCGCTAGGTGTGCTGTGCGTGTGTGTATGTGTAGTGCTACTGTGTGGCGCTGTGTTAGTGTGTGGTGCTCCGTGTTGTGCTGTGCGCATGCTGTGTGTGTGTGTGGTAGTGGGTGGGTGCTGCGAGTTTGTGTGGTGTGCTGCTGGTGTGTTGCAAGCAGCATGGGTGTGGTGTAGGCAGTGCGTGTGTTGCAGGATGCTAGTATTTATTTGTTATCAGTTTTGTGCTCGTGTTTTGGTGCGATGGGTGAAGGCGATACCCCTCCTCCCCTTCCTCCTAAGTACGAGTCGTTCACAGATTATTACCTTCATCCAAGTGAAGGTTCTCTGTTGGTGATTTCTGTGTTGCTTACCGTCGACAACTATGAAGAGTGGTCGAGATCGATTTGCAACAACCTTCGTTCCAAGAGCAAGCTTGGGTTAGCTGATGGTTCTATTGTTAAGCCCGATTCCAAGCACGCGGATTATCGTCAGTGGGGTATTGTTAATTCTACTGTTATTGCTTGGATTTATAATACTCTTGATGTTAGTATTCGTTCTACTGTTATTATTCCTGATGATGCTAAAACACTATGGGATGATTTACGTGATCGTCATTCTCTTGGTAACGGTCCTTGTATGTTTGAACTTAAGCATGATATTGCTGATTGTAAACAAAGGGGTCGTTCTGTTGTAGTTTATTATGGTGAATTGAATAAATTGCAGAGTTTTTTATCTAGTTATGTGAAATTGCCTGCTTGTACTTGTTCCGTTGCGAAAGAATAAGCTAAGTTGCATGAGAATGAGTTGTTGCATCAGTTTTGTCTTGGTTTGGATCCTAAGAAGTTTGGTTCTGTTGTTTCCACTTTATTGATGAGTGATCCTTTGCCCACTATGAATGCTGCTTATTCTAAAGTTGTTGCTGATGAGCGTAAGCAATATGTGTCTGAGGCACATGAGACCTCTTCTTCTTCTAAGACTATTAGTTTTGATGCAACAGGTACGGCTTCCGGTCGAATGACGGAACGGAAGGAGTATACTTATTTTAAGAAGTTTGGTCATGATAAGGACCATTGTTAAGAGCTACACGGTTTTCCGGGTGGTGGTCGTGGTCGTGGTGGTCGGTCGTCTGGTAAGGGCAAGGGAGAGTTTGCTGGTGCTGTTGGTAGCTCTCGAAGTTCTAATGAGCCGGTCTTTTACTCTAATCATGGGAGTGTTCCGACGATTTCTAATGCTTAATGGAAGGAAATCATGGCTGCGGTAAAGGGTGCTAAGTCTGTTCCTCATCGGATGGAAACAAACTTGGTATGTATAATTCTATTGAGTGGCTCATTGACACTGGAGCTTCCAATCATATATATGTCTGGTAACATTGATCTTTTCACTGACTTATATGATATTTCATCGCCTGCTGGTTTGCCCAATGGGAAGAGCACGACAGCTACGAAAGAAGGAAGAGTTGTTTTGTCTGATGATCTAACTCTTGATAGGATGAAAACAAGTTAATGTGTACACTTTACGCTTATATACTCAACATTACTGATTGTGTATTTGTATGTTTGTTTGGTCTTGTCTTTATCTTGGTTCTACGACGAGCCATTTCTAATGGCGAGTAGTGGGGACAAAGTGAAGAGAAGCTTTTCAGGTGATAAAGCATATTCATGATGGGCATGAGTGACAAGCGAATCCTGTTTAGTTTCCATAGGAATATGATGTGTTTTATTTGCTTTAATTATTATATATTGCTTGTGAGACTAACACAAAGGTTTTAATATTTGTTTTTGGTTTTGATAAGGGCTTATAATGGTTCCAAGTTGTAGGTTGACTTTGTTTGACTTTGGTTTGACTTTACTTTCGTTTGGTTTGACTTTTTAAGTTGACTTGTTTTGTATGGTTTTTAAAGTGATTCTTACGCTGTGTGTCTTTGATAATTGCCTTAGTCGTTATCACTTTAGCAATAATGTCTTAGAATTTTCTATTTCGTGTTTTAAAAAGAGCAAAACAAATATTTTAAATGAAAGAAATTTCTAGAGTGTTACAGAGAGAGGGGGGGCAGTTGGCTCTTTAGTAGCCTTAGGATTTTTTTTCTTTTGTTTTTGTAATTTCCTACAGCCTTTATAATAAAAGCCATCCGAAATTTATTTCCAATGGTTTTTAACCATCGGAAATTTCCTATGGCTTTTAAAACCGTCGGAAATTATATATTTTCCGACGGTTTAAAGCCATAGGAAATACACCTTTCGATGCTTATTAGCGCCGTCGGAAATTTCCAACGACTTAATCCATCGGAAATTTCCAACGGTTTTTAAAACTATCAGAAATTATGTATTTTCCGACGGCTTTAAGTGGCCATCGGAGTGATTTCAACGGAAATGGCGTGTTTTCTTGTAGTGATACGACATTACCTATAACATATAATTTCAGTTTATTGTTTATTCGTCTACGACCATAAAGAGTTTGGTAATGGTATGAGTATTACTTTTGTGATTATATTTAGGGAATTTTGACTTTTACCACCTTCAAATAACCACTTAATTGAATTTACCACCTCCAAAAAAAAAAAGATTTACTTTACCACCTCATAAAAAAATTAAACATCAGTTTTACCACCAATCACCTCCAACTAATGGATTCCGTCCATAAATCCGTTAGTGGGGCCTACCTTGCACACGTGTCGCCATATTATTGGGTAAGCTTTAGAAAAAAAATTAAAAAAAAAACAAAAAAAATATTAAAAAACCCCATCCATCAACCGGTGGTTGCTGCCACCGTCGAGACCCCACCACCGGACCGACTACGACCTGCCCCACCACCTGACCGCTACGACCAGCCCCCCCACCTAACCGCTACCAGCCCCCACCACCTAACCGTTACGACCAACGACCCCACCACCTAATAACTACCACCGCAACGCACAGCCACAACCACCGCACCGCACCGCACAACCACCACACCGATTTCGACCCCCTTTCCACCAATTTTCGACCTCAAAACCCTAGCCACCACCTAATCACTACGACCAACGACCCCACCACCTAACCGCTAACACCGCATCGCACCGCACCCAGCCACAGCCCCCACAACGGATTTCGACCCCCTTTCACCAATTTCCGACCTCAAAACCCTAGCCACCAAATTCCGACCACCCATATAGCCCCCCTAATTCCGACAACTCTTAAAACCCTAGCCACCACCAAATTCCGCACTCCTAAAACCCTAACCACCACCTAATTCCGATCACCTCCCTAGGTTACACCAAATTCCGACCCCTCCCTTGCCCCCACACGAAATTCCGACCAACCATGGTGTGTTAATTTCGTTGCTGGCTGGGTTGATATGGAAATCGGGGAAGATGAAGAAGAACCGTCAAAAAGGTGGGCCCTACTAACGGATTCATGGACGGAATCCGTTAGTTGGTGGTAAAATCGAATTTTTGGAAATTTTGGTGGTGGTAAAGTAAAATCTTTTTTTTTTGGAGGTGGTAAATTCAATTAAGTGGTTATTTGAAGGTGGTAAAAGTCAAAATTCCCTTATATTTATGTTATCTTCAAACAATTTTCATTTGATTATCAATGCAAATACAATAATTGATTTGAATTACATTGAAAACTTTAACATGTTTATTATCAACAGAAGGTTATGATTGCATACATTATAGGTTATTACATCATAAAATAATATATGCCAAGCTTATGTCATGAAGTATGTATTTAGAAATGTGATTCAACTAATTAAATATTAATGAGCAACAACCTATGAATTATTCATTTAATTTGGCACTAGCGTGACTTTTGCGAATTAAAAAAAAAAAAAATACTATAGTATTGTTTTCCAAAAAAAAAAAAAAAAGAAAAAAAAGCTAATTAACAATTATATATATGGCTAACTTAACAATTGAAGTCTAAATGTCTTTTATTATTTGACCAAAGATTGCCAGGCCAAACTTATGTTACAAATCTTACAATATGTCAATTTAAAAAATCATGCCTTCAATAAATCGAGTTATTATAGTTAATTACTTATAACTTATTATCATAAATTGTATTTCATATATTGACACTATCCAAATAAAATGGTAGAATGAAATATTTAGTGATCTTAAATTTCATTCATATAAAAGGGATATCAATTAGGTTCATACAAGTTTTTTGGATTGGATAATCGATTCAATAACCATATCGGTTTAGATACCTTATTCTTTAAATTAAATGTTCGATTTTTCGGATATTTTTACTCAGCCCCAACCAAAACTTTTCATACCATTTTGATAAAACGTCTTGCTATTTTTTGAACTTGGTAGACAATCACCTCAAGATTAGATTATGGATTTGAAGTTTGGTTAATATATTGTCTAAAATAATACGTAAGGATCGATTAATATTGTCTTGCCTTTTGTCTTATCCTTTTTTTGTCATATCTCAAAGCAATATAAAACGACTTTGCTCCAAACTTCTTATAAAAACAAATGAACGGATTGGTAATAGTGTACATTAATAATAAATTATCAGCTTGTCTTTTTGTGGGCTGGCCGTACCGAGTGATTATTTATAAAAGAACAAAATAATTCATATATCATTGACCAAGTAATCCCTGTAATACTGACCGAGTAACCTATATAACACTGATCGAGTAACCCTATAACACTAACGAAATAACCCTTTAACACTGGTCAAGTAACCCCTATAATAGCTGGCCACACCGTGTGTGACCAGCCATATATAAGAATTTGTGATAAACTATTGGAAGACTTCATAATCTCTCGGAAGTCATAAGAAGTTGTATGAAATATAATGAAATTAAATTAGAGTAAAACTATAATTAAGAGGATAAGCATGATGCCATGTTAGCTTGCGTGTACATAATACATTCAAGATTCTTTAATGCCATCGAATTTATTTGCAGCTTCGTTTACTTTGTTATCTACATCTTATGAATTTATTTAAAATCATTGTTTATATTGAGCAATTTGCATATATTTGCTGTACAATCGGCATAAACAATAGTGAATGAAGTTGACCTTTGAATGGAAAAGACATTATAAATAGAGAAGATGTAAATGCATTACTAATTAATCAAAAAAAATCATCAAAATGGTGTGCCCCAAAAATCTTAAGCCAATAATTTTTGTGTTACTGCTCGTTTTCATAGCATCTAGTAATGGTACTGTATCGCTTCAACTCCTTAATTGATCAAATTAAAAAGCTAATGATGTACAATAGTACTAATTAATTTTGTGTAATTTTGCAGATATGGTATCAGCGCAGTGGTGCTCCTTGAAAGGTTATCCATGCATTAAAGACGTAGCGGTGTGTTGCGAAGGACTATATTGTAGCGGGGCAATTTCAGGTATTTGTTGTGAGTCTAGGTGGTGGGGGCCTGATTGCTCCCAATAGCTAATGAAATATATAATCTTCGTTAAGTATTAGTTGCAACTTTCCCAAAAAAAAAAAGAAAAAAAAAAGGTGTTAGTTGCAACTTTGAAATATTTAACGGTGATAATATTAAGATTGGATGGATGAATGGAGTTGTGGTGGTGTGTTTTTGGATTTGTTGTTGAGCTACCAAGATTTCATAGTAGTAATGTTTAAGTTATTGAAATAAGCCAGTCCGTGTGGACTATGGATGTTATCTGTAAAAGAAGTCAAACCATCCAATGTATGTGCTAATCTTTCATAAAAGTACTTTATTATAACTCTGTCTTGTGAATGTTGAGAATGATAGGATGATCCTTAAGACGAGTAGTATATTTACTACATATGGGTCATTCTGAATTTACAATTTATTTGTTGTTGGTTAGTACAAATTGCAACAACGAAAGTAGTGATAATACGAAGTAAAATTTATAAGATTGATTCGTGTCCTAGAAATCGTAGGTAATCAATGAACAATTGAAAGTAACAAATATTTGAGGTAATAATATTGTTAGATTTCGGGAAAACTCCTCAAATTGGAGTGTGTATCATTGATCCATATATATAGAGTTACAAGTCTAGACCTAATCATGTTCGGATATCTAGTTTGTTAAGGATACAAAATATATATAAATATATCCGACAACTATAACAAATATTATCTAAATATAATATCTATCACACCCTCGTAGTCGTAGCGGGAGGAGGTCGTACGCTAAGATTGGATCTGAAGTCTAAAAACAAGTCTCGTGGAAGGCCTTTGGTGAATATGTCTGCAAACTGGTATCTAGAAGGAACATGAAGAACTCGCACCCAAAGCAACCTTTTCTCAAACAAAATGAATATCTATCTCCACATGTTTAGTGCGTTGGTGTTGAACTGGGTTGCTAGAAAGGTAGATATCGCTGACATTATCACAATAAACAAGAGTAGCCTGACGAAGAAGACAATTTAGCTCCAATAAAAGATTATGAAGCCAACAAGCCTCGGAGGCAACGTTTGCGATGCCTCGATATTCTGCTTTTGCATTCAATTTAGATAATGTAGGTTGACGCTTAGAATTTTTTTGGTTATTCGGATTTCGATTATCGTGGTTATTCAGATAGCATGAAATCAACATCTGGGTTTGTTTTTATGCTAGCAAATGGGGCAATCTCATGGCAAAGTGAGAAACAGTCCATTATTGCTTCTTCCACGATGGAAGCTGAATTTATTGCTTGTTTTGAAGCCTCAAATCATGCATTATGGTTGCGGAATTTTATTTCAGGGCTTGGTGTTGTCGACTCTATTGCCAAGCCGCTGAAAATATTTTGTGATAACACCGCAGCTGTATTCTCAAGAAAGCAGCAATAACCCGATGTGGAACGACAGGTGTCGGGACAACCTCCCCAGTCAGCGTCAGTGTAAGTAATCAAACGAGTAGAAGCAGACGGATATAAATGTAAGCCATGTTCAATGGTACCCTGAATATAACGCATAATGCATTTCAAAGCATCATAATGAGATTCCCGGGGATCATGCATAAAAAGACACACATGTTGCACCGCATAGGCAATATCAGGCCTAGTGAAAGTAAGATACTGAAGAGCGCCTACTAAACTGCGATACAAAGTAGGACCTCGAAAAGGTGGTTCTGAATCTGCACTAAGTTTGGACTTAGTGTCAACTAGAATAGCTACAGGTTTACAAGAACCCATACCTGCACGCTCTAAAATCTCCTGTGCATATGTTTGGTGTGAGAAAAACAAATAAGGAGTATGAGTAAAGGGGAATTGTAAAGTAGATAATCAAATAAGGGCTATAATGCAGTAGTGGGAATCGGTGAATAATTAATAGAAGGACTCTAATTGGGGGGTAAAAACAAAGTTAGTGAATCAACTAGAACAACAAAATTGCGGAAGCTTGATAAAGGCAAGGTCCCAAACAAAAAACCAAATTAGATTATTGTTGGATACTAATTTTAGAATCGTAAGGGTAATTAATTAATGAACAATTGAAAGTATGATTGATATAATTATTAGCAGTTCGATCCCACATTTGCTCACTTCTTTTAATGTCACAACTTAAATTGATTCTTGTCGAATTGGGTCTCTTGGCTTCTTGAAAATCTTAACCATTCTGCTCATAATATTAATGCAGTCCCTTGGAACACTCTCTTCTCCTTCGCCATATGGCAAATATGGCTTAGAAGAAATTCTTTATCTTTTCCCAAAACAAACACTCCAATCAAACAATCAGTCAACCTGTGCATCCGGGCTGCTTCTGAATGCTTCTTCTCAAAGAGTTGTAATATAGAAAATCCAAAGCCCGTAGTCTCTGCCTAGTCCCCCCTCCCCTTCTTTCTTTAAAAATTAATTGTGATGCATCCTTCATTCAAGCCACCAAAGAAACAGGGATTGTTGCAGTGTGCAAGAAATATACGTAGGAGAATGGATTGAAGGGATAGCCAGGAAGAGCTTCTGCTCCTCCAGCCATGAAGCGAAACTCAAAGTTATCCACTTGAGTATGACATGGGTTAAACAGAAAGGATGGGGAAATGTTATCCTTTGCTTGACTCGAGAAAGGCAATAGAGGAGATCAAATCAGAAAGTCAGGTTTCTAATGCTCCAAATTTGCTTAATAATTGCAGGGACCTGCTAAGGGAGCTCCACCATCTGGAATTTCCCTTTTAAGAACGAAGCCTTAATGCAGTAGCAGATTTAGTAGCTAAGGATGCTAGATGTAATTTGGAGGTTATGAATGTAAGAAATACTTAAGAAATTTAATGCAAAAATAAACCTTAAGCCTAAAATCAATTGATACATTACATACCATTAGATGAGCTTGAAGCCATGATTGTACCTTTGGTTGGATGAACTTTGATGGGGAAGAAGAACAATACCAAACCCTTCTCCTCTCTCTCTCTAACTTTGATATTGGATGTTTTTATTTGTGTCCTTAGTGATGGAATGAAAAATTCGTCTTATAAAAGAAGACATAACCCTTTTATATATATATGAATATATATAATCTTTATTTTATATGTAGTCCAGTTGTCCTTAATAGTAGAGAGCAGAGAGCCTGGTTTTAGTCGGATAAAACCAACTATCTTTTATATCAATAACTGTTATCTTTTATTAATTATTTATAATAAATAATTAATCGGCTAAGTAATCAAATCTATCAAAGGACACTTATCTTTTATACAGTATTGATTTAATATGAGCATTTCTGTAATTGGATATTTGTATTAACTTAAATAGTGTGATTTAATTAATTAAAACAATAGATTAGCGGGTCATCCACTTGACACGTAATGTGGAAATTACATTCTCCCACTTGGCCCGCTAAGTCGATTATGAAAAACTTACATTATATATAAATATAAAATAGGGAATTTTGACTTTTACCACCTTCAAATAACCACTTAATTGAATTTACCACCTCCAAAAAAAAAAGATTTACTTTACCACCACCAAAATTTCCAAAAATTCGATTTTACCACCAACTAACGGATTCCGTCCATGAATCCGTTAGTAGGGCCCACCTTTTTGACGGTTCTTCTTCATCTTCCCCGATTTCCATATCAACCCAGCCAGCAACGAAATTAACACACCATGGTTGGTCGGAATTTCGTGTGGGGGCAAGGGAGGGGTCGGAATTTGGTGTAACCTAGGGAGGTGATCGGAATTAGGTGGTGGTTAGGGTTTTAGGAGTGCGGAATTTGGTGGTGGCTAGGGTTTTAAGAGTTGTCGGAATTAGGGGGGCTATATGGGTGGTCGGAATTTGGTGGCTAGGGTTTTGAGGTCGGAAATTGGTGAAAGGGGGTCGAAATCCGGTGTGGGGGCTGTGGCTGGGTGCGGTGCGATGCGGTGTTAGCGGTTAGGTGGTGGGGTCGTTGGTCGTAGTGATTAGGTGGTGGCTAGGGTTTTGAGGTCGAAAATTGGTGGAAAGGGGGTCGAAATCGGTGTGGTGGTTGTGCGGTGCGGTGCGGTGGTTGTGGCTGTGCGTTGCGGTGGTAGTTATTAGGTGGTGGGGTCGTTGGTCGTAACGGTCTGGTGGTGGGGGCTGGTAGCGGTTAGGTGGGGGGGCTGTTCGTAACGGTCAGGTGGTGGGGCAGGTCGTAGTCGGTCCGGTGGTGGGGTCTCGACGGTGGCAGCAACCACCGGTTGATGGATGGGGTTTTTTAATTTTTTTTTTTGTTTTTTTTTAATTTTTTTTTTCTAAAGCTTACCCAATAATATGGAGACACGTGTGCAAGGTAGGCCCCACTAATGGATTTATGGACGGAATCCATTAGTTGGAGGTGATTGGTGGTAAAACTGATGTTTAATTTTTTTATGAGGTGGTAAAGTAAATCTTTTTTTTTTTGGAGGTGGTAAATTCAATTAAGTGGTTATTTGAAGGTGGTAAAAGTCAAAATTCCCTATAAAATATATGTAATATATAAAGACATATTTCAAAAATATCTTTAACACGTGATCACGATTACAATAATACATATCCAACATGCTCAAAAATAATATAATTCCCATAATATTGAAGTTAGCACAAACGATTAGCACAAGTCATGGCGGTTATGCAGCAACAAAAAAAAAAAAAAAACGCCACGCTTCCTTCCATGTACTACATACTAATAATCCATACTAATTCAACCTTTAATACTATAATGACCCTTGTAATTTGTCTTGTCAGGACAATTCTTGTTTTTACAGAACATAATGTATACATTAACAAGAATAAGCAAAAACAAACTTCAATTGCGCAAAATGTCAATTAGTACCACTATCAGTATACATTTATGGATTTCCCAAAAGGTCCATCCTTATAACATGTTCTAAGTATACCTTTGGTGATAATCCTTTAGTGAGTGGATCGGCTATCATAAATGTGGTACTTATATTTTCAATTGACACTTGTTGTTTTTGGACTATTTCTCTAATGACCAAGTACTTTAAATCCATGGCCTTCGACCCACTCGAAAATTTACCATTCTTCGAGAAGAATACAGCTGCGGTGTTATCACAAAAAAATTTCAGCGGCTTGGAAATAGAGTCGACAACACCAAGCCCTGAAATAAAATTCCGCAACCATAATGCATGATTTGAGGCTTCAAAACAAGCAATAAATTCAGCTTCCATCGTGGAAGAAGCAATAATGGACTGTTTCTCACTTTTCCATGAGATTGCCCCATTTTCTAGCATAAAAACAAACCCAGATGTTGATTTCATGCTATCAGAACAACCACGATAATCGAAATCCGAATAACCAACAACCTCTAATGCTTGTGACCTTTTATATG